CTCCCACTTCCCTCTCTCCTGCATCGGTCTCCATGGCAACGCACATGGAGGATTCCTTTGACTTAGGCCGCTCCAGCATTACTGCAGCCAATCTAAACACATATACAGTTAAAATCATACAATTTATAATCAACTCCTGTACATAGGGCTTTGTAGGTAAGCACCTGCACCTTGAATTGGGACCGGAAAATGAATGGCAACCAGTGGAGCTCCTTAAACAGGAGGGTTGACCTCTATCATTCATGTACAAAAAACATCTATCATTCATGTACAGCTTTGGAACAACATCAGCAAGAAATATTGCTATATAAGAGACCTTATTACAATCCAAAAATGGTGGTAGACGGGAAGAATCTGGCCCACCCGCCATGCTCTTCTCCATATCAGGCATTTGTGCCAATCTTAGTCCAGTGAAAGAAAATACATCTACATATCAGATATTTACATGACGATTCATAACAGTAGCAAAATTACAGTTATGAAGTAGCAATGAAAATAATGTTATGGTTGGGGATCCCCACAACATGAGGGGTCGTGGCGTTAAGGTTGGGAACCACTGATCCATAATTATGTTCTGAAATGAGGAGACATATATTGGATCAGTCTGTGTCCAAATTAGGAAGTCAGCAACCCTTTCCCAACCCATGAGGGGCTAAGAAACAAGGAGGTAACTTCATGCTCCTCTCCCCATCCAAGGCATCTCTTCCCAGCCCCAGCCCCGGATTTTCCGGATTTTCCGCAGGCTAGTGGCTCTGCCTCTTGCTGGATTTATCTGCTTTCATAATCAATAACAATTACCTTGTCCGGAGGGAACCCTTCCACAGCTGTGGGGCTTGCAACAAAGCCATTAATGCCTCAACAAGCCAGGCGTTTAGGGCTCCATCCGGATGGGTCCTGGCACCGGCCCCCCTCCCACTCCGCCCCTGCGCTCCGGAGCCAGGAAAGGAACACAGGGCCTGTCAATGCCACACCGTGAGTAATGCTTGTGGGCTCAACGTGCCGATAAATCAAAGACTTATTAATCTCACGGTCTCATTTTCTGGAGTTGTAATGAATTGGCCGCAAGCATGCCTACTCCGCCCCCTGCCCCCTCCCACCATTGATTACTAGTTTATTAACTAACTTCCCTACAAACCCCCCTCCCCTCAGGCCTTCGCGCATAAACAACAGAAAATCCAAAAGTTCCCTTAGCAGAGAGAGAGAGGACTCTCTAGTAGCCAAGAGTGGGAGCAGCTAGCCTCAAAGTTGCTCACAGTAAACTGTCACAATATCAAGATTCACCTTCGGTAACAAGCACTAAGGGTCCCCGTTCACCAAAGACTCTTTTAGGTACCTGGCCATCATATATTAAGATTTGCAGAAAGTGGGAAGTCTAACTTGGCCATGGTGGTCCACGCTCTGGTTACATCCCGTATAGACTACTACAACGCTCTCTACGTGGGGTTGCCTCTGAAGACTGCCCGGAAGTTGCAATTAGTCCAATTAACTTTTTTTGTGTGCATTTCTATGCATTATAACTGTACTCTCAATTTGCTTCTGACATGATAAATAAATAACAATAATTTTGCAGCTTGAAATGATCCAGTCCAGCCAAAGGCTTGCTTTTGGAGCACATTTTTTTTCGTGTCAGCAGCGACTGAGAAACTGCAAGTTGCTTCTGGTGTGAGAGAATTGACTGTCTGCAAGGACGTTGCTCAGGGGAAGTCCAGATGTTTTATCATCCTTGTGGGAGGTTTCTCTCATGCCCCCATATGGGGAGCTGTAGCTGACAGAGGGAGCTCATCCGCACTCTCCTCGAATTTTAACCTCCGACCTGTCAGTCTTTAGTCCTGCAGGCACAAGGGTTTAACCCACTGCACCACTGGGGTCTCCTTTTGGAGCACATTTATTCTTCTTCTTCTTATTATTATTATTATTATTTACTATATTTGTATACCACCTTTCTCAGCCCTTAGGCGACTCAGGGCGGTTTACAATGGCAACGATTCGATGCCCCAAAACACCATAAAAACATTTAAAAACATTAACACATAATATAAAACCATAACAAGAATACTAAAAGCAGACATCATTTGTGTCTCCTAATAAAAACAGTGTCCCATCTCTGGGTTGTTGTAGGTTTTTTCGGGCTATATGGCCATGTTCTAGAGGCATTCTCTTCTGACGTTTCACCTGCATCTATGGCAAGCATCCTCAGAGGTAGTGAGAATGCTTGCCATAGATGCAGGTGAAACGTCAGGAGAGAATGCATCTAGAACATGGCCATATAGCCCGAAAAAACCTACAACAACCCAATGATTCCAGCCATGAAGCCTTCAACAATACATTGAACATCTCTACGGGGAGAAACTGTTCCAAGACACACCTCACCACCTCTGAGGATGCTTGCCATAGATGCAGGCGAAATGTCAGGAGAGAATGCCTCTAGAACATGGCCATATAGCCCGAAAAAACCTACAACAACCCAATGATTCCGGCCATGAAGCCTTCGACAATACATTGAACATCTCTACGGGGAGAAACTGTTCCAAGACACACCTCACTACCTCTGAGGATGCTTGCCATAGATGCAGGCGAAACGTCAGGAGAGAATGCCTCTAGAACATGGCCATATAGCCCGAAAAAAACCTACAACAACCCAGTGATTCCAGCCATGAAAGCATTTGACAATACAATGTCCCATCTCGTCGTCCAGTCATTCCAATTCCTATGTCTTTTACCTTGTACTTTCAAACACTTTCTCAAACAACCAAGTCTTGACTCTCTTCCGATATGTTAAGAGTGAGGGGGGGGTGATCTAATGTCCCCAAGGAAGGGTGTTCCATAGCCGAGGGGCCACCACTGAGAAGGCCCTGTCTCTCGTCCCCACCAAATGTGTTTGTGACGCAGGTGGGATCGAGAGCAGGGCCTCCCTGGATGATCTTAAAGTCCTAGCAGATACATACGGGAAGATGTGTTCAGACAGGTAAGTTGGGCCAGAACCGTTTAAGGCTTTATAGGCTAAAGCTGACACTTTGATTTGTATAAACCAGGGGTCCTCAAACTACGGCCCGCGGGCCGGGTCCGGCTCCCCGAGGGCATTTCTCTGGCCCGCAGGGTGCCCGCTGCTTCCCTGGGCCCAGCCTGCGCTTCTCCTGCCTTTGGGACGGGGCCTCGCCTCATCCTGAAGGGAGGAGAAGAGGAAGAGGCAGCGGACGAGGCAGCTTTTGGGCCGCTTCACCCACTGCCTTCCTGGGCGTAGCCTGCTCTTCTCCTCCCTTCAGGATGAGGTTTGGCCTGATCCTGAAGAGAGGAAGGCAGCGGGCGAAGCAGCTTTGGGGCCGCTTCACCCATTGCCTCCCCAAGCCCAGCCTGCTCTTCTCCTCCCTTCAGGACGAGGTCTGGCCTGATCCTGAAGAGAGAAGAGGGGGAGGCGGAGGGCGAAGCAGCTTCGGGGCCGCTTCACCCACTGCCTTCCCGGGCATAGCCTGCTCTCCAGGGGTCCTCAAACTACGGCCCGCGGGCCAGGTCCAGCCCCCAAGGGCATTTCTCTGGCCCGCGGGGTGCCCGCTGCTAATGCCAGAAGGGACAGAGACTTTAATCTATGCTGATGATCATGCCATCACCACTCCAGCAGGGAGCTTTGAAATGAACAGAAGCTCTCCAAAGTTTTAGATGCTCTTATTGCGTATTACAGGAAAAAACAACTGAAACATCTAAAACACAGACATGTGCTTTTCACCTTAAGAACAGACAAGCTTCCCGAGCTCTGAGGATGACCTGGGAAGGAATCCCACTGGAGCATTGCAACACACCCAAATACCTGGGAGTCACTCTGGACTGTGCTCTGACCTACAAGAAGCACTGCTTGACTATCAAGCAAAAAGAGGGTGCTAGAAATGTCATACGAAAGCTGACTGGCACAACCTGGGGATCACAACCAGACACAGTGAAGATATCTGCCCTTGCAGTTTGCTTCTCTGCTTCTAAATATGTGTGCCCAATGTGGCATACATCTCACCACATTCAAACATGGCTCTTAATGAGACAGGCCGCATTATCACATAATGTGTATGCCCTACACCGCTGGAGAAATTATACTGTTTAGCCAATATTGCACCACCTGATATCCACTGGGAAGAAGCAGCAAGTAATGAAAGGAAAGAACACATTGACATCTCCAACCCATTCTCTATTTGCATATCAGCCAGTAGGCTAATGACTTAAATCAAGAAACAGCTTCCTAATATCTACAGAGAACAGGAAGACTTCAGCAGGTGGGAGTCCAAAGGTGGCAGGTAAAACCCAGAACATCAACCAGTGGCTGATACTAGATGAGCTACTCCCTCCAGGGCACACAGAAGACTGGGAGACCTGGTAGGCACTGAACAGATTGTGCTCTGGTGTCACGAGATGCAGAACCAACCTTAATAAATGGGGCCGCTTCACCCATTGCCTCCCCATGCCCAGCCTGCTCTTCTCCTTCCTTCAGGACGAGGTCTGGCCTGATCCTGAAGGGAGGAGAAGAGGGGGAGGTGGCGGGCAAACCAGCTTCGGGGCCGCTTCACCCATTGCCTCCCATGGCCCAGCCTGCTCTCCAGGGGTCCTCAAACTACAGCCCGCGGGCCAGGTCCAGCCCCCTGAGGGCATTTCTCTGGCCCGCGGGGTGCCCGCTGCTTCCCTCTGTTCAAAAAGTTTGAGGACCCCTGGTATAAACTGTATAAACTGGTTCTTTGGGGCAGAGGACTCCTATCTGGTGATAGCTCGCCATCATGTCTTGGCCTTAAGTCCCACCAAAACTGCAAATGCAACTCTGATCTCTGCTTGCGATCCATCCTACTGAATTGTTCCCCCCTCCGCAGCGCTACCCACACCTCGGCTCTTTTATTTCCCATTCCGTGTTGTCTCCCTTAATTCTGAGGATAGATTGGATTCATGGAGCTTTGCAGCTGCTGATGGAAGACCTGCATGCTGATTTAAGACATGGTTGTGAGTTAAGTGTCTCAATGAATATTTGTTACCTGTCTCTTGGATTCAAACAAACGGCTGGTGGAAGTCGGAGCCCACGGTTCTCGGGCGGTGCTTCTCAGCGTCGCCTTCCTCCTCCTCCTCCTGTTCTTCCTCTTTTTCCCATTGACCTTTCTCAAGACCAATCGAAAGGAGCTCTTTTACATGCTGCGCCTCGGGCGTCTTCAAGTATCCTTTCCTTTGCTCTTTTGTGTAGGCAAATAAATCCCAAGGGTGCCACCATATACCACCCCAAGATGGCTCCAGAAAAAAAAAACTTACAATAGTTCTTGCCCCTTGTATCCTCTCTTTTGCTTCTTTGCTTCTAATTCCAGTTGCATGTGTTGCCACTGCATTGCAATTCCCCGGAATTTGTTTGTTTTAGACTAAGCATGGTTGAAAACGAGACCTTCATTTGACTTGATGCTCAGGAGCTTATCTGAACGTCTCCACCCCTCTTTCTGCTTTTTCCAGAATTTCCAGATTTTGCGCCTAGTAATAGCTCTGCTTAAAATGCCCAAGTTGATATTTGGAGGCTCTTCATGTGGATGCACACTGACCCCAGGGATGTATCTCCAGAGTGGGCTTCTCAAAAGCAGGTGGACCTATGGGTGAAGCAGATGGAAAGAATGCCCAGCGATAGCCAAGTGGTCAAAATATCCCCGCCATGAGTTGTCAAGCAGAGTAGATCCTCTTGGTGACGTTGGAGGTAGCGGCAAAGGCGTCAAAGTCAGCACCAGCTTCCCAAACCTGCAAGAGGCATATGACAAGGTGGTTAGAGTCGAAGGAAGGAAAAATAATGCAGGAATGCTACTTTATTTATTTAGTTGTTTGGTTTGGTATTGTGATATAAAATTTATTATCATCATTACATCCAGAGAGCACTATGAACCCAAACAATGATGGCCAAGTTTGGTTCAATTCCATCGTTGGTGGAGTTCAGCATGCTCTTTGATTGTAGGTGAACTATAAATTCCAGCAACTACAACTCCCAAATGTCGAGGTCTATTTTCCCCAGACTCCACCAGTGTTCACATTTGGGCATATTAAGTATTTGTGCCAAGTTTGGTCCAGATCCATCATTGTTTGAGTCCACAGTGCTCTCTGGATGTAGGTGAACTACAACTCCCAAACTCAAGGTCAATGCCCACCAAACCTTTCGAGTATTTTCTGTTGGTCGTTGGAGTTCTGTGTGCCAAGTTTAGTTCAATTTCATCGGTGGTGGAGTTCAGCATGCTCTTTGATTGTAGGTGAACTATAAATCCCAGCAACTACAACTCCCAAATGACAAAATCAATCCCCCCCACAATCCCACCAGTATTCAAATTTGGGTGTATTGGGTATTTGTGACAAATTTGGTCCAGTGAATGAAAATACATACTGCATATCAGATATTTACATGACGATTCATAACAGTAGCAAAATTACAGTTATGAAGTAGCAATATTGTGATGGTTGAGGGTCACCACAACATGAGGGAATGTATGAAGGGGTCACGGCATTAGGAAGGTTGAGAACCACTGTTATAGGGCTTGACTTTCACACCTCTGGCCATTTTGTTAGCCCTTTGTTGCACTCCAGGATAGGAAAAGCCCCCTGATTTTAAACACCACATGTTGAATAGGAAAACAATCCTTTTATTGAAGATTATTAAAAAGCAGCAAAGTAAAAAAGCACTTTAAAGAAATAGGTAAATCCAATTAGGTAAGAAGATAAGCAGGAACAAATTAGTCCAGGGTAGAGTTCAGCAAAGTCCATGAAAACAAAGTCCACATTTCTCTAATAAAATCCAGAGAACCAGGAAACGTTAATCCAAGGCATGAGTATGTAATCATAAGATACAAGAAGCAAAATCATGACACAAGAAACATTTAGAATCATAGAATCATAGAGTTGGAAGAGACCTTATGGGCCATCCAGTCCAACCCACTGCCAAGAAGCAGGAATATTACTCATGAATCTTCTTAAACATGAATCTTCTAAGCAAGGCTTCCATGAAACAAGGACGAGAACTTAGGAGGATTCTAAACAATGCTTTATCTGGCTACATTTCCCATGCTTGGAACTTTTATCCCCTCGTTAAGCTATTCCAAGAACTTGGGGATTGGTTTCGCTTTACTTATCTTTTTCTGCCGAGACCCGGCAGAACGCCGAAGGCACTGTTCAGCCTGTCTATTTTGACTAATCTCCTCCCATCTATCTATTTGCTCATTGATTTCTGCAGGTACTGAGTTGTTTTCAAGCCCCAAATCCTGGGAACTTTCTGGTAGCAATTCATGGAGTACATGAATTTCTGCAGGTGCCGAGTTGTTTTCAATCCCCAAATCCTGGGAACTTTCTGGTAGCAATTCATGGAGTACATAATCCCTATACCCTTTAGGGACATTCTCATGGGAAACTACACTTTGAACAGGGGTCTCCAGGTAATTCTCTGCATGAATATCACTGACCAGACCATTGCCATCTTGAAACTCCCGTCTATGTATTTGCTTATTGATTTCTGCAGGTGCCGAGTTGTTTTTAATCCCCAAATCCTGGGAACTTTCTGGTAGCAATTCGTGGAGTACACCATCATCCCTATACCCTTTAGGGACATTTTCATGAGAAACTACACTTTGAGCAGGGGTCTCCAGGTCATTCTCTTCATGAATATCACTGACCAAACCATTGCCATCTTGAAACTCCCGTCTATCAATTTGCTCATTGATTTCTGCAGGTGCCGAGTTGTTTTCAAGCCCCAAATCCTGGGAACTTTCTGGTACATCGTCCCTATACCCTTTAGGGACATTCTCATGGGAAACTACACTTTGAGCAGGGGTCTCCAGGTCATTCTCTGCATGAATATCACTGACCAAACCCTTGCCATCTTGAAACTCCCGTCTATCAATTTGCTCATTGATTTCTGCAGGTGCCGAGTTGTTTTCAAGCCACAAATCCTGGGAACTTTCTGGTAGCAATTCGTGGAGTACACCATCATCCCTATACCCTTTAGGGACATTCTCATGGGAAACTACACTTTGAACAGGGGTCTCCAGGTCATTCTCTGCATCAGTATCACTGAACAAACCATTGCCATCTTGAAACTCCCATCTATCTATTTGCTCATTGATTTCTGCAGGTGCCGAGTTGTTTTCAATCCCCAAATCCTGGGGACCTTCTGGTAACAATTCATGGAGTACACCATCATCCCTATCCCCTTTAGGGACATTCTCATGGGAAACTACACTTTGAATAGGGGTCTCCAGACTTCCTCCTACTTCTTTGCATCTCATCCATTTCATTTCCACCCACACGTCCGCTTCTAATGCTACTCTCTGCATTTTCCTTCTTTAAGCCTAACATATTGGAGTTGTTTAAATGAGGATGTGCTCATTTGCGTTCCTGGCTGCCGTTGCTGGGGTTGTTTTTTGTGTCCTTCTTAATGGGAGGAGAAAGCTGTTAAAAATAATGGAGCCGTTCCAGGTCCGCTACAAACGGTGTGGAGAAAGCAAACAGGAGAAGGGAGAGGACGTGGAGAGTGTGTGGGGGGTGTAATTCATTCTCTCTTTCAACATACAAGCACTGAGGTCATTCAACAAAACTGATATACAGCAGGTTTAAGTTGTGGAGAAGGAGGCACAAACGATAAAGTGCTGCGGCCTCTTAAAGACTAATACAGTGATTACGGTGTGACTCTCGGTGTGTTCAGCACTATTTCGCTGGGCAGATGGAGCAACAAGGGAGAAATTGAGAAATTATCTATCATTTGGCTCACAACAACACTATGAGTAGGTTCCGTATATTCCGGCATATAAGACGACTGGGTGTATAAGACAACCCCCAACTTTTCCAGTTAAAATACAGAGTTTGGGATATACTCACCGTATAAGACTACCCCTCTTCCAACACACACCAATTAAATATTTTAAAATCATCTTTGATTTAAATATGGTAATTTTCCTATTACTGTCCCTCCTTCTCTGCCTCTCAGATCTCACACATGCGCACCTTCACTGCAGTCTGAAAGGCAGAGGAGGAGGTACGGTAATAGGATACAAAGGCGGGCCAGACAGGTAAAAGAGTTGTGTTTTTCTGGGTCCAGAGCCACTCTTTTTTCCTTTCCATCTCTTTTTTCCATACCCCGGGTGCCCTGGACGCGCGGAACTTGCTCCGCCCTTCACTTACACCTTCCCGGTGTGGCGCCCCTTCACCTCACCATCGGGACCGCTGTTGCTGGAGTCAGGGGGAGAGCTTTAAATTAGCTGTCCTCCTTTCTTCACAACCGTGGACAGCGAGTGGAGAGGGGAGGCCTGGTCTCTGAGAGGTTCCCTCTCTCTTGTGGGGTTCTTCAGGGGGCCATTCTCTCCCCTCTGTTGTTTAACATCTATATGCGACCACTTGCTCAGCTGGTTCGAGGTTTTGGGTTGGAGTGTTATCAGTATGCCGATGACACTCAGCTGGTGCTGAAGATGGAAGGCCAACCGGACTCTGTACCCGATTGTTTCCATCAGTGCCTCGAGGCCGTTACTGGATGGCTGTGTGCCAGCAGGTTGAGGGTGAATCCAGCAAAGACGGAGATCCTATGGCTGGGTCAACCGGGCAGTGGGGACATCCAGCTGCCTACCCTGGATGGCAAGGCGCTACGCCCGTCATCATTGGTAAAGAGTCTGGGAGTCCTTTTGGACCCTCTGCTGACAATGGAGGCCCAGGTCTCCGCCGTGAGCAGAACCGCTTTTTTTCATCTGTGGCAGGCTAGACGGCTGGCTCCATCCCTGTCCAAGGAAGACCTAGCTACGGTGATCCAGGCTACGGTCATCTCAAGACTGGACTACTGTAACGCCCTCTACATTGGCCTTCGTCTGTCGGTGATCTGGATCTCAAGTTGGTACAAAATGCAGCTGCTCGGCTTCTTGCGGGAATTCCGTTGAGATGCCACATAACCCTAATCTTACTACAACTGCATTGGTTACCAATTGAGCACCGGATCACTTTCAAAGTGATGGTACTCACCTTTAAGGCCTTGCATGGTCTGGGGCCGATGTACCTGAGGGACCCCCTCACCCCCTACCAACCCCAGAGATTCCCTCCGTTCTGAGGACCAAGATCTATTGGAAATTCCCAGTGTCAAGACCTTGCGTCTAACAGCAACCAGACGCAGAGCCTTCACAGCAGTGGCACCATCACTCTGGCATACTCTGCCACCTGAAGTCCGTGCCTTGCGGGACTTACCAGCTTTCCGCAGGGCATGTAAGACATACCTGTTTCGACAGGCTTTTAATGTTTGATAGTGTTGTTTTTAAATTGTTTTAAATTGTTTTAAAATTGTGTTAGATTTTAGCCATTCTTGTAAGCCGCTCCGAGCCCCAGGGGAGTGGCCGCATAGAAGTCCAAATAATAAATAAATAACATAAATAAGTCCACGAATCCTGATGAATTGATTTTCTTCTACCGTACTTGTACAGCGTCACCCTAACGCTTTCATACAGTCGCTGCATATGGCAGGGACGCGGCCACTGCCATTTTTGAGCTCCCCCCACCATATGCGGCAACCGCAGATTCTCCAATCCGGATTGGAAGTTTCAGCACCCGCTCTATAAGATGACTCCCGGCGTATAAAACTACTCCCGCATATAAGATGACTCCCAAGCATAAGGCTACTCCAGCTTATAAGATGACTCCTGTGTATAAGACTACTCCGTGTATAAGACGACCCCTGACTTTTGAGAAGATTTTCTTGGGTTAAAAAGTAGTTTTATAAGCCAGAATATACG